TTTGTAATGAATAATAACTCAGAATTCCAATTCCACTTGGCTTCGTTATATTCACTTACACACAAATACCCTTGTCAATCTACCTCTTCTCCCCCGGCTATGGGTTAATGAGTAAGACTTGTATCAGTAAACCATTCAAAACAAAAAATTCTTACAATTTTACTTAATTAACCTAGAAAGGTTGAGAAACCGTAGAAAACGAATCAGTCAATAAACAAATAATGTTTAGTGTTGTGGGGCTCCCCCCCCCTTTTTTTTTACATAAGATGGACTCGTCCGAAGTATACTTATACTGACAGAGAGAATACATGCTGTTGAGTTACGTCGAGATACAGTCTCGCCGTCTGTCGAACTCTCTGCTTTGGCAGAGAGGAACCCGGACGGAGCTTTGCCGAAGGACAAGGTTTCGTCCGGGGAGGTAGACAGGCCCTGAACCCGTCTAGGCGGGTTTAAAGGGTATATTTTTGGCCTAGCCTACGGGCTCGGAGAAAGCCACGTTAAGCTCGGCCTTGTGCCACATACATTCCTCGTGGGTGGGATATTGAATAACGAGATACGTTGAGATACGTGCAGATACGTTGAGACAGGTTGAGAGATACGGAGACAGACACAGGGAGTTCTCAGAGAGTTATACACGAGTCCAGGGAGAGAGATGATTAAGGCTTTACTTACAAAGACTTGTACATATATTTTCTACTAACCCGCATTCCTGGACTACTAATCGTCACTTCAAGTCTGTATTCTTACGTTTAATACGCTTATTTTTTTTATCTCAATTACTGACGTTGTTTAATTATTTGTGCAGGATTCCATTCACGGAATCCACAACAGTTAGTAGTTCTGACGTCTCTCCGTAGGCAACCTACAGCACACTTGCCACACGTGGCACGCCAGTCAATTTTCAATGGCACGCAGCCGCAAAGGACATCACTAACTCCGAACCAATAACTACAACAACTCAAAGAAAATATTTCTCTGCTTCAGTTTTAATATATACTAAAGGATATGCGGACACCTCGAGGCGGTGTAACGGTTAACAAGCTCATCACGTTGGAACAGTTACGACTGAGCTTACTGGGTGCTCCATACTTTCGGCCTTGTGCCGCATCTAAGCTACTCTTGGAAAATCACTATACTAAAGTATATGGAAATAAAAACGGCAAGACGAGTTTTACCATTCATGATTAAAAAAATAATTGACCAGCCAACCGAGCTGAAATCGAGGGAATACTAAAGATTACAATATAATATATAAAACATAAGAAGCACGTGATGAAATAAAGGTGGAACGATCAGATGGAAATAATGTCAAGCCCTAACAGGCATTCCTTCTGTTTACAGAGGGAGGGCTGCCTGGACCTAATATAGATCGTTTTCAATACCTTTAAGTGTAACAGAGAATGAGCATGACTAATGGCGGAAAATGAGTCAATGCTGAAATTTGTAGCACAATTGTTTAAAAGGTGCTCAGCAATGGCATAACCGTATATGTTCCTGATCTTGTCACCAGATTGGAACGTACCGTTCCTAATTTTTCCGGGTACGTGCCGATTTATCCATCTAAATTATATATAGTATTTATTTACTATATAAAGTATATGGTAGAACATATATATTGGCCTTGACTTTATTTACATTATTCGGACTATTGTCCTCATCTTTGTGGCCATTGTACGCTCCGGCCTTCTTCAGGTGGATGGAATGTCGAACTGAACCCTTTATTTCACTCACTGGGGTAGACTGTTCTAGTTCCACGTGCCATGTTTAATGGATGTCAGTTATCAGTTATCTCCTGTTAATTTTCCCTCTGAAAGTTCTCCACTGCCTTAACCGGGTATTGAACTCACAATCTTTGGGTCTTGTCACTGAGTCTAACCAACACCTTTATCCACTCTGCCATGTGTCCTTGACGACAAAGATGAGGAAAATCATCCGAATAATGTAAATAATGCATGATAAATGATTCTAAAACCCCAAATCTGCACATAGTTAGAAAAAAGTTGCCGACCCCCATAAGTCTAGAGCGTTGGTGATGATAAAATTAGTGATTTTCTTCTTGGAAATATTCGGCATCCGGCATTGACCTTGTAACCAGTGATATTGTCACATGTCATTTATAAAATCCTTCTCTTAAAACAAATTTTCAGGAAAATGATTTTCTCAAGTCCCTGTGTTATCATTCTTTCGTGTACGGATGTGGGTTTCCTTCTTAACCCTTTGTCTAAATAGTGTTATTGAGATTTATTGTAATACAGTTATGGCACAAGGCCAAAAATGGGGGAATAGATTGAGGCTGGTTTTATACCAATCGAAACTAATCGGATTCACGACCCTTTCACTCGTTACAATTTCCTCATTCACCATAAAAATTCATCCGTCGTCAATCAATCCTAAAATGATACCACATCCTCTCAGGGTGGGACTAAAAAACATCCCAATGAGATGATAAATATTATTTATAATATATATATATATATATATATATATATATATATATATATATATATATATATACAAATCTAAATAGTGTTATTAGTGCAATGATATTATTTTGTCGTCTGTTTACATTTGCTACCCATTTTCATTGTTGCTGTTGTTGAAAGTACTCAAATGATGTGGTTTCTACTATTTGGTATAGTTCTTTGTAGTTATGATTCTAACTGCAAGGTTCGAAGCAGAATAATCTTGGCTAACGCCTACAGGCTTCATTTGTTAGAAGCTATTTATAAATTATATAGATCCGACAAAATACAGCTGAGAGTTTAGATATTTCTGAACGATTTGGGCGCCATGACCGACATCCATATTAAAGTTTTGATCTGAGGAGGCAATTGAAAAACGTGACTGGAGTTTTAATTGCCTACTGTAGCAGTCAAGCTGTAAGTATTTTAATATTTCACAGACAGAAAAGAAATGGGTTTAAGGCTTAAATTGATAACATGTGTGTGCGTGTGTGTTTGCTTTGTGTGTTTGTTTTGTGTCTAGGTGACCGTATATAAAAGGATAAGATTAAAGAGAAAAAAGATGGCGCTGATCGGAAGACCGATAATATATATATATATATATATATATATATATATATATATATATATAGTGGCTGTCGACTCATAAAGCGAGTATGACCATCACTGATATGTCCAGTTCATCAGTTAAGCTCGTCCCCACAATACTGCATTCATTTGTTGTGTGAACGACAGTGGCTCATAAAACCAGCCATCAATCTGCATTTCTTGTTACATATATGGCATGTCAAATCATCTACGGGTGGTGGAAGTTGACTTTAAACATCATCATTTCCAATATGTATTTTTATATGCCTTGTCAGGACCGACCTGGACTTACACGCTCTAGTGCATGTCGGGCATTCAAAACATGCCATTATGAAATTGTCATAAGCTATTGGTGTTGGTATGATTTCTGGTGACTGATCAGACATGCCATGGACAGATATATCCGATTGCATTGGGCACATGGAAGGGTTGAACATACATACATACATACATACATACATACATACATACATACATACATATATTATGGTCAGCTTCTGGACATAACAGTCTATAGGTGTGGCTAGTCAATCTGTGTTGCAGAATTCAGCTCGGGCGAATTTTGTTCTTGTTCAAGACTCGCAGAGCCCACTTTTGATTTATGTTGCAACAATGCTAAGTCGACCATAGTTGCTCTTTCTGGGAGAGATCGTGCATAATCTGGCGTGATCAGAAGTTTGAAAAAGCCCAGTACTCTCAGAACCTCGGTCACGACGACTTGAGACTTTGTGCCAGTACAGTCATTGGCAAACAGTTTACGTCTACCCAAATATACTCAAAAGACATGATATGGTTTCCAGGCACTTTTCAACGGTGCCGCACGCCGGAATAACATCAAAAGTTCACCTTCCAGACAAATCGTCGATGACGAGATTCCAACCTGCGCATATACATACATACATACGTGTTGATTATGACGTCTTGTCAGATGATTGCCATTCTTTCATTGATTGATCGCCCTGATCCCGTTGATGACTTTTCATTCCTGCCAGTGACTCGCATATCTTGTAGCAGATTTGGCACCCATGAGCATTGGCGCTTGTTGAGATAATAGACACGGTGTTGGCATCATTGTTAACTTTCATGTGACGCTTGAGAACACCATCTGATCGGCATAACCTAGAGCAGTGGGAGCATGAAAAGTTTCCATCCTGGGACTCAATGCGCGGCATGGGACGGGCAAGTGTAGTTCGATTGCTTTCATGCGATTTCATATGATTAACCAGACCTGCCTTTGACAGCAAGGTCCGCTCACATACCTCACAGACCCACACATCTCAACAATTGGCTGGCACGAGTATCCGTTTTCTGTATGCTCTCTTGAGCTTTGCCCGGTCTGCTCTGTGCATACAAACACACACAGATACATAAGACTATTCGAAAAATACGTTGGACAGAGAAACGAAAAAACCCTGATAAATACGTAAACATTGAGATATAAATATGCTTACCTGAGATTTCATCATAGAACCAGTTCATAGAGTGCCTTGTATATCTATAATGAAATAAGTTGGTGTGGCCAAGTGTATGACACGGTTATCTATCTATGTATCTATCTATCTTAGCTAGCTAGCTATCCTTCGTTCTGTTTGTTATATATATATATATATATATATATATATATATATATATATATATTAGCTAGCTATCTATCCTTCGTTCTGTTGGTTATCTATCTATCTATCTATCTTAGCTAGCTATCTATTCTTCGTTCTGTTTGATATCTATCTATCTATGTTATGATGTTCATGATCTATTTATATGAGGATGCTCATGATCTATGTCATAATGTTTATGATCTATCTATGTATGCCATGAAGTTCATAATATATTTATCTATCTTGTATTGTTCATCAATCTATCTATCTCACATTATACGTCTGCCTATATATGTATCTTTTTCGCATTGTTTGTCTATCTATCTGTTTATCTATCTTACTATCTTGCATTGTTAGTCTATCTATGACATGATTTTCATGATCTATCTATGACCTAGTGTCCATTATCTATCTATCTATCTATCTATCTATCTGTCTGTCTGTCTGTCTGTCTGTCCATCTATCTGTCTGTCTGTCAGTCCGTCTGTCTATCTATCTATCTATCTATCTGTTTGACAGTCTGTCGGCCGATCTAAGTCAGGATGTTCATGATCGATCTACACACACACACACACACACACACACACACACGCACATAAGTCTAAAATAAAATAAGAAGTATAAATAAGAAGTATAAATAAGAAGAAAAATGACAAACTACTGGAAGAACGTGATAGACAAATAAAAAGAAGGCATTTTTGAAATATTTTGCGTGTCTTTCTAATTGATATCTTACTATCAACAAGTATCCTCAGATTAATTTTAAATTGGGAGAAGTAATAAAATAAAATAAAAATTGTTGTGTGATAATGAAGTCTTTCTCAATTGGTTTCGAATCAGCTTATGTATGATGATGACAGTTTTGTTCAAAATATTCTAAGGTTTTTCTTCGAGATGTTAACAAAATCAAGAAAATCGAACCAAAAGCAAAGGACATTTATTGGAGCTTCACCGACTAATAAATCGGAGAAATAAAAGCAGATTAATACCATGAATAATTAATACCATAAAGAAGAAATGATAAAAAGACCATGAAAGAAAAAAAGAAAGAAAGAAAATAAGGAACATGTAAGAGAAAAGAGAGAAACAAATAAAAAGAAAAACAAGAACAAATAAGGAGAAGAAATCGAAAAGAAGTAAGAAGAAGAAATATGCAGAAGTTAAAGCGGAAAAAGGAAGAAATAAACGAAGGAAGAAGAAAAATAATGAGTAAAAAACGGGGAAGAAGATGAAAAATATTTAGAGGAAGAAATCAGCATAGAATAGACGAAGAAGAAAAATAAGAAAAAGAGGAAGAAGAAGAAATAAGAAGAAAAAATAATAATAAAAAAGAAATAAGTAAAAGAAGAAGAAGAAAAAGAAGAAGAAAGAGACGAGGAAGAAGAAGAAAGAAAAAGGAAGAAATAAAAAGAAGAAAAATGGGTGAGGCGAGTAAGAAGAAAAAAAAGAAGAAGCAAGAAGAAGAAGAAGAAGAAGAAATAAGAAAAAGAGGGTGAAAAAGTGGAAGAAGAAAAGAAAACGAAGACGAAGTAGAATATAGAAGAATTGAAAAAGAAAGCAAAAGAAAAGAAAAAAACTAGCACTAAAAATGAGCTGCGTTTCCTTTCGTTGAAATCTAAGTAGGTGTCTGATAGTGAACTTCTCCCGCGTGTCGATTATATCTGGTTTCTGACCGCTTTTAGCAAGGACGACCCGATGCATTTTACTGAAAGCCGACATGTCAACTTCTTGGTGATCTTCGGTTACCATTCCGTTGTTGATCCGGCTTAAAATATGCGGAAGAAAATCAATAAACCTTGGAAACAACTTAACAATATGTCCAGACAGGCATTTTTTATATTTTAAACATTATTGTTTATGATACTCACTATTATATATATATATATATATATATATATATATATATATATATATATATATATATATATATTTAATTTAGTAAGAGGCTGAATTCATCTTATGAAAAATTATTTGAGAGATTAGCATTTACGAAATAGCTACCAAACCAATTTAAAGATTTAAAGCAACGAAAGGAAAAAGGTTTAAAAATAAATTGGAATAAATATGGTACAGTAAAAAATCTATGGGAAGGTGTCCATCAGAAAATATATATGTACACTAAAAATGATGGGGATTAAGATTAACAGTATATATATATATATATATATATATATATATATATATATATATATATATATGTGTGTGTGTGTGTGTGTGTGTGTGTGTGTGTGTGTGTGTGTGTGTGTGAAAAATATATAGAAAATAGGAAAGAACTCGTTAGGTAAATAATCCAAAGTTCTTTAATATTTTTGTTATTATTTTTTTTAAATAGTGCTCGATACAAAAGTAGAGCATAAATATAATTATTTTTTTAAAAATATGATTCCAACACGCTTCCATATTTTTAAAGAAGTTATTTTAAAAATAGAGGTTCAGATTGCTCGACCTTAAATTGGGAGCCAATATATGTGAAAAATATATTACGATCTCTATAAATATATATATATATGTGTGTGTGTGTATATTTAGGCAGCATATATTTCATTCAAACATTTGCTGTTGAGAGAAAGATTAGTATACATATTCAGTTACGGCCATGAGCACAAAGCGGAAACCATATTGTTTATTAGAGTGCAGATCGTGGGAGGTGAGATGCTTAATTACTTCGGCATTGATTAAAGCCTCGAAGATTTTGCCGAAGAGTGGTAAGAGACTGATAGGATAGTAGTTAGATGGGTCCCTGTGTTTAAGAACTCTGGCGACCCTTCTGGTCGCCAGAGTTCTTAAACACAGGGCCAACAGAGGAGGACTTCCATCAAGCTGGAAAGCAAGAATCAGCGAAGCAATAGTTATAGAGTTTGGAGAGAACTGGTGCCAACTAAGGGGCATATATCTTTAGGACAACGGTTGGTATCCCATCACCAGCACTTGCTTTATGGAAATCTAATTTAGAGATGACGTCTAATACCATCGACGGGGTTATGCCCATCTCAGTATAGCCTCAGTTCTAGGTGGAAAATTAGGAGTCGATACTCCAAATGGGTCGAGTGTTGAGTTGGATGAGAATTTCCAAGCAAAGCATTCAGCCTTATCAGATGAAGATATTAGAACTTTTGAGGAGAAACACAACTAACATAAGCACGTGCACTCTTAACTATAAAAGGGAATGTTCTAATTATTACGAAATAGTTAATATATGAAACTTAATAAACCATGCAAAATCAAATTCTTCAACAAAATGACTTTCTATACTGAATTAAAAAATATTAAACAAGCCCTCAAAAATAATGACTTTCCTAATTACGTCGTTGATGAACAAATTAAAAAAGCTATTAGGAATATAAACATAAATAAAAAATGAATACAATACATCGTCAAATAACTCTCAACATCTCAAATTAATATACCGTAACTATAAGTAGGAGAAAAATCTAAAAAGACTCATAAGCACTAATGTATTCGCCACTGATTTAAGTAAAAAAGTGAAGGTGGTTATATACGATACTAAATTCAATACAACTAAGTCAGTTGTCAAAAGCAATTCTTCTTCGTTAACTAGCATTTTACAAAAGGCCAACATTATATAACAATTTAGATGCCATTTAGGAGATAGCATATTTGACAAAAATGTTAATACGTATGTTGGTTTTACAACGTTGGTTTATGCTGACGAGAAAGCTTACATTTCACTTGGATGAGTATAGTTCAATCTTACAGCATTTAAAGGAACAATAATTTCCACATTTATAGTTTAGAAAATTGAAGTTAGATCTAGATTACACCAAAATAATAATAAGTAAAAACTTAAAATCCTAGAAGGCTTTTATATAAGAGAATTAAAACAAAAAGAAATAGTCAACTATGAGTATATCAATAAAGATCTTAAATGTTTCTGACAGCTAAGTTTTATATATATATATATATATATATATGTGTGTGTGTGTGTGTGTGTGTGTGTGTGTGTGTGTGTGTGTGTGTGTGTGTGTGTGACTAAGTGTGACTAAGAAATATATACCTTGCATGGAAAAAACTCGTGAATTTGAAATTGATATATAACGATAAAAAAACTCAATAAAACGAATAGTAAAAATGTTTTAAAATTACTTGGGAAAATAAAAATTATTTGAATTAAATTTTGGTATTTTTCTTAATCAATCTTCTGCGGATACCAGGATATAATTCGTGGACTCAAAATGACTGAAACAAAAAATAAACAGGCATAGTATGTCCAAATTATTTCACCAAACCTTTTTGAATACATACATACATACATACATACATACATACATACATACATATATATATATATATATATATATATATATATATATATATATATATCTGAGTGTGTGTGTGCGTGTGTGTGCGTGTGTGTGTATGCGTGCGTTGTGGCTTTGTTAAGGGCAGAAATTAAGACACGAGGGAGGAACTGAGTTAAAGAAATATATTAACAGAAACAGTAATGCAAACACGCAAACGAGATTGTTACTGCAAGAATATTCGGTCCGATTGTCAGAGCTGACTCCTGGAAACTTCCCTCTCTAAAAGGCAATACCTGCTCCTATTTATAGCTGGGAGAGTTTATGCGTGCGTTTGATAAATTACCACAACAATATATATATACAGAATTATTACTGTGACAATAGTAGACAGATATACTGTGAACATCAAAACGTATATAGATAGATCATGAACACTACGAAATAGATAAGATTTTGAACACTATGACATACGTCAATTCACGCAAAGCAAGGCGATAATGTCACTAAGGACGCAAGTGGGTACTTGAAGTGAAAGAGAATGAGAAAACTTCAGACAGAGCCAGAAACCCAATCCTAAACAGTAAACAAAGGATAAACATCTACCCCTGTCCAAACGAGCAGGGAAGTTGCAGAACCGGGTAATTGGAGAAACTATTTAGGTGCGAAACTTTTGGGGTATACTTGGACGTGCGGCTGGTGTAATGGATAACGGAACAAATTGGAAATCGGAGAACAGAGTTACAATTCCAGTACGATTCGTTATTTTCAATTAGGCCCAAATATCTTTGGAAAAGGGATGAATCCGCCTATTCTGCCCCTCCTAGATATGGATTAATTAGTAGAATTAGTATTAAGAAATCATTATTATTTACAAAACATATTTACAATCTAAAATATATTTTCTGTGTTTACATAACCTGCAAAAGGTTGATAAGCCGTAAAAAACAAATCAGTCAATCCAATATATATATATATATATATATATATATATATATATATATATATATTAAATAAAAACAGACCACTTTAAGGCTCCATGTAATAAATTATTTCACCATACCCTTTTTTAAAGGACTGCGGATCATCAAAGACTACTTTACTTTGGAAGTAAAGTCTGATGATCCGCAGTCCTTTTAAAAGGGCTGTGGTGAAATAATTTATTACATGGAACCTTAAAGTTGTCTGTTTTATTTAAATTATTTGCTCTGGATTTACATTGAGCTCTCTGGATTTTATCCTCCTTAGGTTTTACTCATACGGATTACCTAGTTTTTCATAAACTATATATATATATATGTGTGTGTGTGTGTGTGTGTGTGTGTGTGTGTGTGTGTGTGTGTGTGTGTGCATATATATATGTGTCTGTGTGTGTGCGTATGTGCGTGTGTGCCGGGTGTAACAGCACAATTGTCTAAATCGTGCAACAGCATAATTGTTCATCCCGCGAAATGTTTAATATCTAAAATAAATCTCTAAACTTAGTTTCTTTTTTTCCAGGTTTTCAGATAAGACGTTTAGCCATCTTGCCCCCAGTTATTCAGCTAGAAAGGGAACAGGTTAAAATCGTTTCGTGTCAGCGCCACTGTCCTTTCAAATGTACAATGGTGAGAGGTCAATGATCACACCGGCTTTCAGTAATGGTACGAACATTCATAGACTGGCTTCCGTCTTCTATGTCTATTCAAAAACTATCAAGAGATTGGTGAACAAGTTTTTAAAAAAATGGGAACAGCTGAGAGGAAAACTGGATCAGGAGGTCACAATAGGGAGAGGAATCATCATTTCGACTTAGAGCTAAAGAGATCATTTAGAAAAGATCCAACTCAATCCATAAGACGTTTGGCATGTGATAGAAGAGTTTCAGCTATGACAGTGCAACGAGCAGTGAAAAAAGACTTGAAAATAAAATCGTATGTGAAAATTTTGAGGCACCTTCTTACTCCAGGACAGAAAGTTAGAAGATTAGAGAGGACAAATATCATCTTTAATGAGTTATAAAATTATCCTGAAATAATATATATATATATTTGAACTTTATTTTAGTTCTTCCTGAACTTCCGATTCTTAGATATGATTAATTAAATAAATAAAATGAAATTAATTAAATGAACATGTCATTTTCGTTTATGATCGATTTCACTACGATTCGTCCGTTAAACATGGAGAGTAATTATACATTCTTATGGCTCAAAGTAGAGTCTAATAGTGTTATAAAAACCTCGGAGAATTCCAGTAAGATATGTTTAATCATTTCTAAATACAACGGTACAAATCTTAATCTAACAAATAGACAATTTTGCTTTTACAAGATTTGGACAATGTTGCTCTAACACCATATATATATATATATATATATATATATATATATATATATATATATATATATAAAAAAGTGAAAAGTTTTTGTGTGATGTGCTTCGTCCCTCTGGACTTCCAAAACGCGTCACATAAAACCTTTTTTTTTTTTTCATTTTGTTATATATTTCCTCCCAAACTGTTTTTGATATATAAAATTTGTATATCGTTATCCCATATATATATATATATATATATATATATATATATATATATATATATATATATATATATGTATATATGCCAGTAGTTCGGATGGATGTACAAAGCTTTGTACACAATTTTGTTTAATATTTTTCTTTTCATCATTATTAATAGCGTATGAATTCAAAATGAATACATCGCTTTCGGCAGGAATTAACATTTTTTTTCTCTTCTCTTTTTTTTTTTTTTTTTTATGTTTCTCTTCTCTCTTGAAAGCCTTCCTTTCCGTACACTTTTCTCTCAAACTACACTTTTCGCTCAAGTTACTTTGTATCATCCATTCTTTCCCAATAATTGTTGTTTCACACACACAGAGACACACGCACGCACTCACTCACACACACTCACATCTATCCTGAGTAGGAACGCTTGTACATTAAATACTTTTTACACTCGTTAATTAAACAGATTACTTTACGCATACTATATATAATTAAGTATGTGTGTGCGTAGATGAAGTGGTGCACACTGCAACAGCCACTGCATAATTACACCGTGACACGCCGTGACGCCTTCAGAAAAGGAAAGCTTTGAAAGGAGAATTTGTCAAAGAAAGAGTTCCTTTTTCTTAATCGTAGTTTCTTTTGAAACTATCTCCATAAATAATGGCACAATTCATGGACGATAAATTTGGCAAAACTATATTTCTTTCTTTTCTCTTTTTACCCTCTCTTTCTCTTTCTTAGCCTTTTTTTTTTCTCGCCTTTCTGCTTTCTCTTGCTGTAGTTGTGTGTATCTCTCTATCTCTCTATCTCTCTATCTTTTTATTTCTTTCGTTCTTTCTTTGATACTTTCTTATTTATTCTATTATTCTTCTTGTCCTTTCTTTTTTTTATCTCTTCTGACTTTTGTTGCAACTCCGGTTTGCTTTCTTCTCATTCTCTTCCTGATCTTCCTTCTTTTCCTTCTTTCTTTCTTTCTTTCGTTTTTTATCCCTCTTTTTCTAATACTTTTAAATTTCTGTTGATACTCTCAACTGTGTTCTTCATTTTCTTCTGAAACTCTTTCACCTTTTCTTTTCTTTCTTTTTT